AAAAAAAATTTTTTTTGTCTTTTTGACACAGGGTCTCCCTGTAGCCCCAGCTGGCCTGGAACTCACTATGTAGACCAAGCTGGCCTTGAACTCACAGAGATCTGCCTGCCTCTGCCTCCCAAGTGCCGGGATTAAAGGCATGCGCCACCACTCCTGGCTTATTTTTATTTTTAAATTATGTGTAAATGTATGTGTATGAGTGTGTGTGTATGAATGTGTGTGTGTGTGTATATACATGTGAGTGCAGTGCCTGTGGAAGCCAGAAGAGAGCGTCAGATCCCCTTGAAACTGGAGTTACAGGTGGTTGTAAGCTGCTTGACATGGGTGCTGGAAACTGAACTTGGGTCCTCTGCAAAAGCAGTACTTGATCTTAACCTCTGATCCATCTCTCCAGCCCCATAATTGGCTGTGGGATATGATTTGCTAGTATTTTGTTGAGTGTGTTTGCATCAATATTCACCACAGATTTTGGTCTGTAGTGGCATGTTTGTGTGTAACCTGCACCTCTCTAATGACTCTGTAACACTGTGTAAATGCTGTGTAAATACTCATGCTGTACTATTTAGGGAATGATGACAAGAAAAGTATTTGCTACAGACACATTTGTTTCTAATATTTTTATTCCAAAGTTGGTTGTCTGTGTGAATGCCAAACCCACAGATTAGAGAGGTACTTTATCTCTTACTGTTGAGATTGTTGTTAAACCCCAGGTAGTTGTGTGAAATCCCTGCGAAGCTGATAACCCAAGCCCCCCCACTGCATCCGTGTGCTACTGACAAACTGAAGACTAAACCCTGAAAACACAAATAAGGCCTGAGACTCAAACTCCTTAGCTTGGAGGCTTACTTCACCAAGAGCTTCCCAGCAGCCAATGCAAAAATAGTAATAAAGGGAAGCACGGGAGTCATGAGCTCTTCTTGAACTGCAGAAGAGGAAGAAAGTGAGACTCTGAGAATGCACAGCTTTCCCAGGACTGACCTCAGGAAGGCTGAGTGGTGGATCTTGTGTAAGGGCATTGTGCAAGTGGTGTTTCACAGAAAGACATGGGGCCTGCCTGGCCCTGGCCACTCCTCATACTGACTTGTGATGACCCTGAGGGTGTGCTGATATTGTGGTTCTGGAAAGGCATATATATATTTTTAAATTTTTTATTATTTTCATTTTATGTATAGGAGCGTATTGGATGCATGTGTAAGTGCACCCCTGTGATGCAATGCCCTTGGAGGTCAGAAGAGGGTGTCGGATCCCCTGGAACTATAGACAGTTGGTAGCCGCCATGTGGGTGCTAGGAATTGAACCCAGTCAATTAACCACTGACCCATCTCTCCAGTCCCAGAAAGGCATGTATTTATGGTCAGCCTAAGTAGCATGGTCTTGGTGGGACACTTGCACTGACTTTTCTAGAGACTTTGCACAACGGAGGCACAGTTTTGCTGTTGTGCCTTCTAGTTGGGAAGTTGAAGGCAGAGTTGTTAGTTCCATTTTACAGATGAGGAAACTGTGACTTGGTGAAGTTCTCAATGTCATAGTCCCTTATGAATCACCAGAAGTGACTGTTACCTTTTCCATTTTGATGACCCTGTTACTGCCCACTGTGTGACAGAGTGGGGTCTGTTGACTTATAGGCATCACCCCTCCAGTCCTCACAGCAAATCTAGTGACTGATAGGTGTTCATGTTACAGAGACTGGAAGTGGCTTGAGGTTGTTCCATCAGCAAGTGGTGGGGAAGCCCGGCAGGGGACGCATACATGAATGTGGGAGGAGGTTCCAGGACACAGGGAGTCAGTGTGACAGCACACACACATTGCCCATATCTGCATTTTCTGGGTAAGAAGAAAGAGGATTTTATCCCAGTTTTATTTCCCGTTGCTGTGATAAAATACCATTAAAAAAAGCAATTAGGGGAAAAGGGGCTTATTTTATCTCATAGTTCACAAAAGCAACTTCAAGGAGAAGGGGTTTATTTAGCTCACAGCTCCAGATTTAAGTCCATCACTTCAGGGAAGTCAGGGAGCAGGAGCCTGAAGAAGCTAGTCCCATTCAGTCAAGAGCAGAGATAATACATGTGCATGCTTGTACTAGGCTCACTTTCCCCACTCTTATGTAGTCCAGGACTGAAACCTAGGGGATGATGCCACCCACAGGGGGCGGGGTCTTCCCACCTCAGTTAACATAATCGAGACAGTCCTTCACAGACATATCCACAGGCCAACCTGGTCCTCATTGAGATTCTCTTCCCAGGTGATTCTAGATTGTGTGAAGTTGACAATTAAAACTAACCACTAAACAGCTTTCATGGAATCTCAGAAACAGAGTAGAAACAAACAGAAGAGGAAAAATAGAGCTTTAGCTCCTGAGAAGAATCATCAGAATCATCGTAGCAGTTTGTACTGGTTGAGCCCCAACTGGGAGGATGAGCTTGATGTCCCTGAGAGTGAAATAGAGTGTGCTCCACCTGACCTACTCAGCTGTGTATCCCTGCATGGTGGCTAGCATTCGTGTCTTTCCCAACACTGTTCTTCAAGTTGGGTTTTTCCTGAGATTGGTGGGAGAGCCTGGGTCTCTCGTGGAGCTGGAAATGATTATAATCAGGTGCCATGTGGTGCTGAAAAGTCCTTCCTGTATCAAATCCTGTGTGATTCCTGAGAGTGTGTGAGTGAGTAAATGATGGAGTTTCTCTTCCCTGGTATGGTGGATCTGCAGATGAACATCTGGAGGAGAACAGGTTATTGTCAGGTTAGAGAGAAGACTTAGTGGGGGTCGTGGGAGTGACTGGAGAGATGGTTCAGCCATTAAGACTACTGGCTGCTCTTGCAGACGATCCGTTCGAATCCCAGCACCCATGTAGCCTCTAACAACTGTCCATAACTTCAGTTCTAGGGGATCCAGTGCCCTCTTCCGGCTTCTGCAGTCACTGCACAAGGGTGCACTTACACACATGCAGGCATAACACACAAAATAAAATAAAAACAAATAAAATTGAAAGAAGTCTTGGGGAAGCTGAGGTCATTCTGCTGTTGATGGCTAGGAAGGGTGACCAAGCAGCCTCAGAGCCATATCCTCCTTCCATGCAGGCGGTGCTATGTGAGCAGTCAGTATCCCTGGGCAGCTCCCTTCACGGTGTGTGGCAGGGCTGGTGGGGTCAGGGCTATCTACTGCTCTTAACCCTAGTACTCACCTATTGCTGGCCTGGCTCATGGCCTCACTTAACCTTCTGTGGTCGTTGCATCCAAGGACTGCCCATCCCTCAGTACAGCTCAGCCCCATATGACCTCTTGTGGTTTCCTGCATCCCAGCATGGCTCATAGTCTCTCAATACAGCGTAGTGGTTGGCCACAGCTGGGAGCAACAGCTGCAGCAGTCCCTTTTCATACTGAGGAAATGGGTCCATATGGTTGAAGAGACTCTGAGGGGATGTGGACCTCAGGCTTGGGTCTAGCTGTGGCTGTCCCCAAAACCCTGTCTCACCACATCATTGTATTTAATCACTCGGAAGTCTCTGGAAGGTCAGACTGAAGACTGCATCACAGTCCCGAAGTGCCTTTTCCTGTATGCTGGAGAGCTGGTGAGGGGCCAACTGGGTCACAGTCCAGTGTAGCTTTCCTGTTTTGAGAGAGCCAGACCCTTTGCCAGTCTGCGGTCCTGGCTCTGCCCCTGCTGAGCTGCACCGTAGAGATGGGAGCTGGAAGCTGGGAGGTGATTTTAGAGTGTCTGAGATGCTATCCTCACCCAGGGAAGACAACAAAGCCTCTGTTCAGAGAGTGCCAGGAAAAGCAAGGATGAGAGTTAGCAAGGGAGGGAGTGCCTGTGGATTATCTTTCTGTCCCCTGCACTAGACAGCTTCTGGTTCTCCCAGGGCCTCCCACCTGTTAGGTGTGTGCTAGGTGTGTGATGGATGGACAGATAGACAAATGTTGTGGGGGTTAGAAAACCTCTCTAGTCTAGGATCTGCCACCAGTCTATGCGGCCTTGGTGGGTTGCACCCCTTTCTGGGCTTCAGTTTCTGCATCTGAGCTGACTTCAGGGCCCTGATGCCCTGATGGCCATGTCAGTGTTGTGGAGGGGCTCTGGCAGGTGGAAGGCTGGGGTGTAGGATTCTGTGAGACTGTGGCCACCTTGGATACTGGTAAGGAGGTTCTCTGAGGCTCTTGGCCTCAAAGTGTAGGAAGCAGGAGGGCTCTGGGAAGCAGGGCAGCAGTACAGAAGGTCAATGCTGGATGGGATGGGGGATGGGTAGGGCACTAGGCCTGGCTGCAGAGGCCTCCACTGAAACTTCAGGTTTGGGGGCAACCTGGTTTCCCTTCTTCTGAAAGACAAAGGGCCCAAGCATCTCCCTTGGGTATTAGGGCTCCTGTGAAGGTAGGGAGGAAATATATGGACAGGAGGAGAGGGTGGGACAGATACCTCACAGGGGACCCCGCTCATCCTCTCTGCTTTGTGTTTTTTGCAGATCATGATCGAGTTCTGCCCTGGTGGAGCCGTGGATGCCATCATGCTGGGTGAGTCTTCTTTCAGACACTGGGATGAAGAACTTGCCCTGAGCTTTGCATCATACGCCTGGACAGCTCTGACTACTCCTTACCCTACCCTACCTGCCACTCCAGGGTTCCCAGAGCTTCATGAAGCTTCTTCTCTCTTTCGGAGGTAGAGAGAAAATGCTGGCCTTTCACCAAAAGACTGGCACTTCCTGTTCAAGAAGCCATGTGTCCTTAAATCAGCTGTTCACCCTCTTCAGCTTTATAGCCATAAGATGGTGTGAAACCTGCCACACGGCACTGGAATAGAAATGCATCACCCATGGATACTCACTCTCTTAGTCCATTTCTGTTGCTATCACAGAACACCTGAAGCCAGATGAGTCATACAGAACAGAGACTGGTTTGGTTCATGGTTCTGCAGGTTGGGAAGTCTAAAAGCAAGGTGCCAGCATCTGGCAAGAGCCCAGTCACTCTGCATCTCACATTGAAGGCCAATCCCTCTGCATCCTACACTGAAGGCAGAAATCAGGAGCTCATGGGAAGGCAGCAGAGAAGGGAACCCACTTATGTGAGACTCAACCCATTCCCCAGTGGTTAGAGAAGACTACTTACCTCCCAGAAGCCCAACATTTGGGCTTTGGGGCACACATTCAATCCATAGCACCTTCCCACTTTGTAAATGTGCAGGAGGTCAGGTCTTGATGTCCTTGGCAAAACTGAGTGATATCAACACCGTAAAATATTGTATCTTTAACACTTTCTGTTGTTTCAACAAAATACCTGAGAAGAGAGTTTTATACAGCTCTGTTTTGGAGGCTAAAAGCCTACAGTGGGGAATTAATTGATTAATTAATTAATCAATTAATTAATTGCCTGGTGTGGTGGTACACACCTTTGGTCCCAGCACTTGGGAGGCAGAGGTAGGCGAATCTCTGTGAGTTCAAGGCCACCAGCATGGTCTATATAGTGAGTTTCAGGCCAGCTGGGGCTACAGGGAGACCCCGTCTCAAAAAAGGAAAAAAAAATTTTGAAAGAAAGCCTACAGTGGGGTCTCTGGCAAGGGCCTCATGAAGACTGGTGTCACACTGGGGAGAGAGCATGCAGAAGGGATGATATGAAGAGGCAGGAAGTCAGAGGGCTTAGTGGGGAAGCCTGCTCTTTCTGTAACAACTGGCTCTTGCAAGAACTGAGACTAGGGTTAATCCCTTCTGAGGGCGGTGGCCCCATGACCTAATTACCTTAACCTTAGGCCCCTCTACTTGAAGACTCTACCACCTCCACACTAGAGACCAGTACATGAACCTCACCCTTAAGTCTTACCCAAACCATAGCACTCTGAATAGTCACCGTGTGCCCAGGATTGTGGTAGTTTCTTTCTGTGTGTGTGTGTGTGTGTGTGTGTGTGTGTGTGTGTGCGTGCGCGTGTGCTGGTCTTTAACTTGCTATGTAGTCAAGGATGATCTTGAACTTCTGACTTACCTGCCTCCACTTTCCAAGCGTTAGAGTTAAGGTTGTGTGCCACCATGCCTGATTTATGTAGTGCTGGGAACTGAACCAACTGAGCTAGCTACATCCCCATTCCTAGAGGGATTTTTTTTTTTTAGAAGAAGCATTTCATTACAGCTTTAGCATACTCATTAACAGTTTCCAGAGCAAAGATACATCTCTTTCAAAAGTGGCTATAAAATTTTTAGGTTCGCTGTTGAATTAATACAGTTATACAATATTGAACTAGGGACTTTTTAAAATGCAAAAGCCAAATTGACTACTGAATCTGAAGTTGCTTGTGGTCACCACCAAGAGAGAGGCCGGTGAGATCCTGTTCCCTCAGTCCCCAATGGCCTCCGACCTCTGCCACCTTGCCTGTCATGCAGCCTGCCCCTCCAGCCACCCTGGCGTCCTCCAAACAGCTGTTTCCTTTCCAAGAATGTTCTTCCTGCTCCCCACCTGCTCAGGCCTATTCATCCTTGAACCTCAGAGGAGCCCCCGTCTCTAAACACTGTGGCTGGGGAGTCCCCAGCTAGCAGACAGAAGGCTCTTAGTGACTGACTGGCTGGCTCTCTGGCTCTTCACCCTCTACATCTCCTGATGCCATCATCAGCCATGGTAGCCTCCAGGTCCTCCCTTCTGCTGGCTCCTTGACCTGGGATGCCCATGCCCCACTGCCAAACACTCATACCTCTGGGGCTCCTTCCCATTCTCCCTGGCGGGATTACTGCCCAGCCTGACCTGTCTTTGCCTGTCCCCACCCTGTTCCAAACATCACTCCCCAATGCCCACCAATGACCTGATCTGTGCTATGGTTTGGATGTGTCCCCCCAAGGTCCATGTGCTGTGAACTTCATCTTCAGATTCACCACTAGTGGTATTTGGAGGTGAACTTCTGGGAGGGAATTAGGGTTAGATGAAGTCATGAGGTGACCCCCATGGTGGCATTAGTGGTGCAACAGCACACTTACTGTCTCAAGATGAGATGCCCTCTACCATGCCAGGGTACAGCACGAGAACCTCACAGATGGTGTGATACTATCAGACATCCCACCCACACCCCTCTCAGCCTGCAGGACCTTGAATGCTTTCTGCATCAATTGCCACAACAAAATGGACCAAGGCAGTCTGAGTACAGCCACACAAGTTCTGCATAAAGTAAGCTATTTATGAACTTGAAGCCAGACTCTAGTTTGAGCCTTGGATCTATGTCTTCTTTCTGGGGTGACCTTCAGCATATGACACCTCTGAGCCTTGGTGTTCACATTTGCATACTAGAGAGAAAAGCTGTGGCTCTGTGCAGAAGTGTCCTGAAGATAGGACAGGTCCACACTCCAGTGGTGGCTTGATATGAACTGACTCCTACAGGTGCCCCCCACTTCCAGCAGCATCTGTGCTCATACCTGGTGCTGCCCTGTGCCAGCCTGGTGCAGATCTTGTGAGGACCTGGTGCAGGGCTTGTGCTGACCTGGAAAGGGCCTGCTGCTGGCCTGGCAAGTGGCAAGTTCTACTTGATGGACAATAGCTCTCCTCTTTTCCAGAGCTGGACCGAGGCCTCACAGAACCCCAGATTCAGGTCGTGTGCCGCCAGATGCTGGAGGCCCTCAACTTCCTGCACAGCAAGAGGATCATTCACCGTGACCTAAAAGCTGGCAACGTGCTTATGACCCTCGAGGGGGACATCAGACTGGGTAAGAGGGGCTGCTGGGCAGGGCTTGAGGACACATGCAGTCTGACTGCGGGGGTATCCTGGGTATCCTGGCTGATAGTACTGTCTGGGTTTTGCAGCAGCAGCAGCAGGAGGCCTGGGCCTGGTAGTGAGTATCAGGTCCTCACTCCACAGCCACCCTCACAGCCTCTAAGTTACCCAGAGTCACCCCCTCCATCCTTGGATTAAAGGCTGACATTATCTTCCCCTGCCCAGACTCAGAGTCAGAGCCTGGTTTGTCAGCATGGAGACAACTGGGGACAGGGGTGCTGCTTACACCTTGTGGGTAGAGGCCAGGGATGCTGGTCAGCACCCTGTGGTGCATATAACAGCCTTATAAAGCCACAGCCTGGCTCTGGCTTCCAGTAAGACAAACTCAAATGGGAGGGGACCCCACAATCCACTTCAAGTGGAAAAGAATAAATAGAACAACGGGCACACAGAGCTGACCCAGATATCCAGAGGGGCTGGCTCCAGGATCCTCACAGATGCCAGAGTCCACAGATACTAAAGTTCCTTATATAAAATGGCATAGTGTTTGTGTAGAACCCATGTATGTCCTCTGTACACTGTCCTCTCTAGATGATTCGTACCTAGTACAGTGCACATGTTGCATACAGACCTGTTACAGTATGTTGCTTAGGGAATAAGGACCAGTAGAGAGTCTGTGCATGCTCAGTACAGATTGATTGATTGATTGATCGATTGATTGATTGATTGATTGTGTATGTGCTCGGGAGAGTGGAGGTTAGAGGATAACTTGCAGGAGTTGATTCTCTCTTTCAACCATGTGGGTCCTGGGAATCAAACTCAGGTCATCAGGTTTGGTGTCAAGCACCTTTACCCACTGAGCCATCTTACCAGCTCCCTCCTGAATATTTTCAATCCTCTGTTGGTTGAATCCACAGATAAGGAGCCCATGAGTATGGTGGAAGGCAAACAGTATCAAACCCTGATCTTTACATCGTTGCCTCTTCCTTTGTATGCTTCACAAGTGTTTTTAGCCAAACACCACATGCACGCACCCTTTCCTTCCCCTGCAGCGTGGTGCTGACTCCCCACACCTTTACTTTAGCATTGCCTGTGATGCCATTTGATGAATGGCACATCATACAAAGTCCACAGCACAGGAGGAAGGGTCAGGAAAAAGACCAAAGTACCTCCAGCCTCTTTATCCAGAAATGTTGGTCCAAGGTGCCTGTGCATCACCTATGTGTGCACCCTAGTGGCTGCCGGACTCGGCGCAGGCGGGTGGGTGTGGCAGGGAGTTGTGCTCCAGTTCTGGCTCATGTGACAACTCTACTGTCCAGGAATGTCTGGTATTGTTCGTTCCTCCATCTCCACTCTCACCCCTGTCTTTCCAATATAGAAGAGTCACCTTTTGTATTTCCTCTAGTGGTGTCTTGGTGTTTTAGGGACATCTTAATTATGCCCATAAGAAACTGTGCCATGGAGCCCATAACTGAGCACTGCAGGGGTGGTATGATGGTAGGGGCAGAATGGGTTCAGTTAGTCAGAGATGAGATGTCCTCTGCAGCACAGTAAGGCAAGGACCTAGCCTGGGTCACACAGCTGACAAGGACAGAGCCAGGGCCAACCCAGACTTGGCACTCTTTGGGACCCTAGTACCCTCCCCTGACTAGCCTCATGTCTTTGTACAACTCAGAGCTGCCTGAGTGACTTGCTTAGCAGGTCTTTTTCCCAGACAAGTGTGTCACCTTGTTGGAGATGACATCTGTGCCACCCACAGAATACAAGTAGTATCGGTAAGCCGCAAAGCCGGGGAGCCAGACACAGGTTCAAATCCTGGCTTCACCACTTCTGCTTCATGGTCTGCAGACAAGTATTAGCCATTCAGATCTGAGCTTTCATTTTCAGAGTGAGTGTAAATAACCATGGCTCTTCCTCGAGGGGTCATTGTGACGGCAGGGGTGAAGTGGCAGAGTGCTGTCACACTGGGCAGGTGCTCAGGGGCACAGCCTCTCTGCTGCCTAGCACCTGCTTCTGCCTTGTGATGACTGTTTGCTGCTGTCTCAGATTTCAGACTTCCTCTGAGCTTCCCTCTAGTTGCCAAGTCCAGCATCGCCCAAGCTGCTGCCCATTTTGGACCACCGGGTGGACTGTATTTGTGCAGGGAGAAAACTCTTCTGCCCTGGGACACTGAGAGATTGGCAGGATGTGGCCTTTGGACCCAGAAGATCTGTTTTGTCCTGGAACTGAGCATTGGGTGACCTCAGGCAGGTCACGCAACTCTTTTGAGCCTCAGTTTCCCACACTTGAAAGTGTGCTGCCTCGTGTACTGGGTGGGAGTAAACTCAACGAAGCAGTTCACCCTGTTGGCCCCACAGAGCTGAGAGGCCCAGCAAACATGTGGTTTCTGTCCCAGCCAAGGAGGGGCTCAGAGTACTGCTGTGAGGTGAGGGTCCTTACTCTCCAAATCCCTGCATCTCTCACCCAGGTGAATCCAGGGAAGATGAGGTGAATCCCACAACTTCTGGGGTCTTTCGAGTGCCAGGCAGAAGCACCAACTGGTGTAACGGTCAAGATGACCAGCTTGAGCCTGGAGCATTTGGAAGTTGGTGACAGTCACATCCATCTTTGCTATAGTTCCTTTAGTCTGGTTACCTCCTGATCCTGACAGCCCCACCCCACAAAGGCCCTCAGCTTTGCTGGAGGTGGGGCCAGGAAGCAGTCAATCACCTCTTACCCCCATCTTCACTTCCAATTCAGCATCCCCAGCTCCTGCTCCAGCAGGCTGAGATCCTGGGTCTTTTACTGTCTAGTATCTCCTCTCCATTTATCCACAAGGGGATGCCCCAAACTCCAGATAGCCCCAAACCCAAGATTAGGCTTTTCCTATATATGTACACTCACCATAAAGCCTCATTTATAAATTAGACAGAGTAAGAGATCAGCAGCAATAGTGATAAAATGGAACAGTTGTAACAGTGTATGTATTAGTTACTTTTCTGCTGCAGCCATGGCCAAGGCAACTTACAAAAGGAAGATTTTATTGGGCTTAAGGTTCCAGAGGGATAAGAGTCCATCGTGGCAGGGAGGCCTGGCAGCCGGAAGCTGAGTGCTCATATCTTCAAGCAGGCACAGGAAGGAGAGAGACAATGGAAGCAGGACCAGGCTATAAATTTTCAAAGCCCACCCTAGTGACTTGCTTCTTCTAGCAAGGCCACACCTCCTAAAGGTTCCATGACCCTCCCCAAACAGCACCACCGACTGGGACCAAGTATTCAAATACTTGAAGCCTATGGGAGACATTCTCATTCAAAGCACCATAGTATACTATAACAAGTTATATGAATCCTCTCCTCTCTGTCTCTCTGTCTCTCTGTCTCTCTGTCTCTCTCTCTCAAAGCAAGACTGATAATGTTTTAGGCTGACCACAGGTAACTAACTGAAATTAGGAAAAGTGAGGTACAGGTAAGAGGGCACCACAGCTACTGTGTTGTGAGCCAGTGCTGAATGCTTGATAGCTCACTTCATCCTCAGAGGTCACGGACTGCATTTTAGAGAGGAGGAATCAGGGCTGGAGGGATGGCTCAGTGGTTAAGAGCACTGACTGCTCTTGCAGAGGACCTGGGTTCGATTCCCAGCACCCATATGGAGGCTACGAGCCATCCTTAACTCCAGTTCCAAGGGAATCCGAAGCCCTTTTCTGACCTCCGCGACATTGACAGGGGTATACTCACATACATGCAGGCAATACACTCATACACATAAAATAAAAATACTAAGCCAGGGCGTGGTGGTGCACACCTTTAATCCTAGCACTCAGGAGGCAAAGGCAGGCAGATCTCTGTGAGTTCAAGGCCAGCCTGGTCTACATAGTGAGTTCCAGGACAGCTGGGGCTACAGGGAGACCCTGTCTCAAAAAGACCAAAAAAAAGCTAAATAAAATATAGAGAGAAGAGAAATCTGGAACCTGGAGAGGTTACTTACCTAGTGTCACACAGCTAGCAAGAAGGGCAACTGGGCCTCAAACCAAAGCATTTAGCTTCACAGCCAACATGCAAACTACTACCATCTTGTAGTCTCTTCTGGGAACACATAGCCCGTCATCGCCTGTGTGAAGACAGACAGCAAATGTTGATCTCTAGGAACCAAAATGGGGAAAAAGACAGATGGGCATGGCGAGTGGCTGGTTAAGCTCTCACAGGCCTGTCTCTGGCCTCTGCCTTTCTGTGTACAGTGGTTAGCCTCTATACCCAGCCCCAGTCTTGGAAACGTCTGGCCAGATCTAGTTTTACAATTCCCAGCATTACCTGCTGGATGAACCAGAAACCACTATAGGTGTCAGTAATCCTAGTGAAGGGCTCTGATTGGCCCAGCCTGGCTCAGCTGACGGGGCTCTGTGCCAGTAAGGTCTGTTAAGGAGTGGGTTCTGTGATTGGCCCAGCTTGTAGTCAGTCTCCGGCTCGGAGGGAGGGGTCAAAGAGCAATATGGAAGTCCTCCTTCCCATCAATGTCAATGTGGTGGGAAAGATGACTTTCCAAAGAAATTGAGGATTTGGCCTGACCAGAGAAACAAGTTGTTCACAGTCTGTGAGAATCATGTGGAATGGGTGAGGCAGAGAGAGCAGGGAGCAAGAGTAGGAGACTGTATTTGAGGTTGAAGTTAGGGGTGATGTGGGGAGAAGGGAGACAAAGATGGCAGCTGTAGGGAGCCGAAGGAAATGGGGAGTCCATGGTAAAACAGGCTTTAAGTGGTCACTTGTTGTTGCCCCAAAACTAGAGATAATAGAATAGAAACCTTGTGGTGGTGGGGTATTCTTCCTGACTCACAGCTAGATAACAAGGTCCCTATTGTACAGATGAGGAAGGTAAGGCTCAGATGAGAGAGGCAGTGTGTCTGTGCTCCCACTTCCCTACCTGGCGCTACTGCTGCAGTGATACCCCCTAGGAGGGCAGATCATCTCTCAATTAGGAGACGCCCTCTATTAATGAGCCCAGCTGTGCTACTGGCTGCTG